CGCCATGACTTATAAGGTTAAGATGGGAAGGTTGACTGACGATCATCAAATGGCCTGATTATGGCATTTATTGATTGGAATTACCTGATAATACACACTAGACGTAAAACTTACAGTTGCTGTTTGAATATTTTATGTTTATTTTAATTGTTTAACAACGTTTTCACAAGTAAAACATGGACCCAACTTTAGGGACACATTTCTTTTCTATGTTCCTAACTATGGCCCATGAAATTCATTTGACAGCATATAGCAATAAGAGTAACGTCAACAATGTTGTTTTGCATTTGGATGATAAGGAACGAACAGGAAGGGAGATTTTTTCTGCCAAACCTGTATAATGAACATCACAATGTTCTGATTTAGATATTCTGCGGTCAAAAGACGATAAGCGAAATTTTTAATTTTTAATTTTTAAATTGAGTGATTTAATGTAGTTTTCGTAAAATTTTCTCTAAGAAATGTTTTGAGGAATGAAGAGCATTAAGTTAACAGTGATAGTGATAAAAAAAAATACATCAGAAAACGTTACCAAGAGCGTTTTTTTGAGGATCAAACAAGATAGGACGAAGTTGCATCCATAAATAGACCCAATTTGGGGACAATAGACCCATATTACATACATTTCCCTCGTGAGTTATTGTCTTAAAAAAAGTAAGTTTTTCAACTTTTCGTGGTTTCTGATAGCAAACGACATGATAAGCATATCTAAGCATACCATTTAGCAGTAGAATATCGTTTGCAGGTAAATTCATTGATGAGTTATGATTAAAAACGTAATCGATGGCTGCATATTAGACCGAGGTTAGGGACGTATACCCTATATTTGAATAAGGAGGCAGAGAGTGGCAATTCTGAATATGTTTATTACATGTCATATACCACTCGACTCAGCTCGACGAGATCGGAACATGTCTGTGTGTGTGTGTGTATGTGTGTATGTGTGTGTGTATGTAACGAAATGAATGCGTTCACGTTTCTCAGCAACCGCTCAACCGATTTGGACAAACTCGGCGCCAAATGATAGGTCTTGGGGTCCCATTGAACACTATTGAACGGTTTTGGAATCGGTGAACCAGTTCCGGAGATATGGCCGGAATAAGATCCGGTGAATATGGGCCTTCACGCTGGATTTAACGGAAAACGTATCAAAACCATGATGCGACACATCAAATTACTACAGAATTCAAAAATAAGATCAATGCAAGTCGTGTTAAGTGTTCCAGACCACATTGGATACACTTGGACATGTTCCGGGTACCCCGCGGAAGTTGCTTGAATATGAATTGAATTAAAACCCATTAAATCACATTAAAATACGATGATAAGGTGATTGGTAGCCTCACCAAATAGACTACACCCGGATATATTCCGGGTACCCCCAGGCAGTGGCGTAGCGTCACTGGATGACACGGGGGTGGGGGCTTGGTCACTGATAATGACAATAAAATAATAAACTTGAATAAGTAAGAAGGGTCTTATCACACCATAGGTGGATAAATTCGGGTTTTTGTAACATGCGTTTGCTGTGTTCAACCAATCAGAAACGATGAAAAAACAAGAATACAACAACTAACAAGAAAAATTTAACTCTCAAGTAGGTATAAAAAAGCCGAAATTTGGAATTTTTGTTCACTTTCGTTTCAACCTTTCGTTTCGTGCTGCGTGATAACATTCAAAGCATCACTAAACCTGCCATCCGTCGGATGTGGAGAACATTATTCGAGACGCTGTTACTTATAGCGAATTTGTTTTTGATTCAGTTCCAACCTGGATCGGGTATCAAGATTGGGTCTCCTTGTTGTCTAGCAAACGTCAGTGTGAACGTTTGTTTTTGTAACCTGGCTCGGGTTGAGGTTCGCACTGACAAGAAGCTTGTGTTCGCACGGGTTGGAACTGGTTCCAACCTGGATAATAAACAAATTCACTATTAGACAGAACACGCTAAGAGGAAGACCGTCACCGCAATGGATGTCGTTTACGCTCTGAAGCGACAGGGACGCACTCTATACGGTTTCGGAGGATAAATAAGCATCATCGACTCAGGAAAATAAAACCGGCCCTTTTCAGGGCCACCAAATGAATTAAAAAGGTGTTCTTTATTAACTTTCTTGTCGGGATTTGAAAGGTGGTAGGGATGTGATCGAATGATGATTTTTTCAGTTTAAGGATGTTAGATTTAACCTAAGTTGGTCGTTACTGGTATGAGATCTACCACTACTAATCCAGTACCGACAATCATTTGCATTCATTTATTGTGTTGGGGTGAGCAGGCATGGAAAATCATTTACATTCATTTCATGCATTCATTTACATTCATTTGCCTCTAACTTTTTTCATCAACAGCATTCCGCAAAAGATAAGTAATTATAACGGAATTAAAAGGAAATAAACCAACACTCTCAAAGCTCTCCATAAAGGGATTCCGTTAAGAGGTTCGACTAGTTTGAAAGATTTTTCAGAATGAATATTTCCTTATAAACCTGACCGTTTTGAAAGGATTACGCGTATCTATCAAAAGATAAGCAATTATGAACGAATTCAGAAAACCTAAAAGTTATGAGAAATTCAAACGATGTCCTTTAGATATTTTTTGAATAGGTCAAATTGATCAGGTATTATTCTGAGAACCTACAATTGATCAACAATTTAATTGAAACTTTTCGAATATTGAATTGTTTTGAAGACCTACAAATGATCAGATATTCTTCGAAGAGGTCAAGTTGACCAGGAATTATTCTGAGCTCCTACAGCTGACGTCTTTGAGATATTCTTCAAAGAGATCAGGATTTATTCTGAAGGCCTACAACTGAACGAAAATTCAAATAAAGTAGTTTCGAAAATATTCAAAGTGGTCTGATTTATGAGAAAATATTCTTAGGCCCATCCACTGATCAGAAATTCAAATTAATTCCTGGAGATATTCTTCGAAGAGGTCAAGTTGATCAGGAATTATTCTGAGGCCTAACATCTGATCAAAAATGGATTTGAAGTCTTTTGAAAATTTCTTCAAGAGTGCAGAATAATCAGAAATTATTTTGAAGACCTAACTACACCGAAGGTCGTAGGACTTCAAAGAAATTATCAGTACTTCAGGGAAGTTCGGAAACCTTTAGAGAAATCAAAAGAAATTCATGGAAGTTCGTAGATCGTCTGAGTAATTTGCAGAACTACAGCAATGTTTGTAGTTCTTTAGAGAAATGATCAGTACTTTTTGGATGTTCACATATCTTCAAGGAAGTTCGAAGATTTTCAGAGAAATTAACAGAACTTCAGGGATGATCGTTGATTTTCAGAGATTTTTTTGTTCCTTAGTGAAATTAGTAGAACAGACTTTCAAAGAAGTTCGCAAAACTGTAGATTAACTTGCCATTTTTCAAGGAAGTTCACAGAAATTTAAAGATCCTCGTATATCTTAAGAGTTATTTTGAGTACTTCATGGCAGTTCGCAGAACGAGTGTCTTGTATGCCTCCGCCATGGCAGGACGGCGAAGCGATCGGTGCGTTTTACTTCTTTCCGTCTCTGTAATTATCACAATAATCAACACAACGCAGGGATCCCGCCCGTGCGCAATCAGTGGTCAATCAAAGAAACTGATGAATTAGAACAATTTCCAAGTTCAAGATAAATCGGCCTAAAGACCAATTTAGCCCTACAGCGATCAGAACCGCTATATGGAAAAAAAAATCCCTAATAAACGGAATCCATAATCTACCGATTCACTGAATGGTAAAATTATTCTACATGAATGGTATAGTGTGGATGATACCACTTGGTTAAGCACTTTTCGTTGTTCTTTTCTTTAAAGGAATTAAGATTCTTAAACTTCGAAAGTTTTTGGATTTATTGTATTTAATTTTAATGTATGCTAGATTTAATTTAAAGATCACTTACCATTTCAAAATTCTTTGAATACAGCTTGCTATTCAAAATCGCAATACCGATGATAGAAAATGATGATACCTATATTCGAAAATCAATTCTGGCAACTCCGGATGTAATAAGAAACAGTCAAGAAGCAACACCTGTTGTGCGGCATATCAAATCTCATGACTTTTTAATGATTCAATCATTTGTGATTATATTGAGCTGAATACACATTCAGCATTTATTATGGGCGACCTTGAGGCAATTAACCAAAATCTATCCAACCAGAATCTTCCATGCGGAAAATTAAATTTCATGAATTTACAGTACTCTTGCGTGTTTTTGTTCATATGGCATACGAGGAATTATTTAATCAATGGATTATTGCTCCTTTTTTTCGAATTGAAATGCATAAAAAGGGCCGGATGATGGAATTATTCGAGATTACTCTTAAAATTATAAACGGACATTTTTTTCTATTGTATTAGTCTGTAATTCAATGGTCGCTTCAATATGGAGTTATGGCGAGTCGATTGTACTTTAACAATAAAATAAATTAATGAATTAATTAAAGTTAATATCATAAATTATCATGCTTATCGCAACAAGATTATCCAACATGCAAAGTAACAACTTTCAATTACATTTAACCTATTGCTTTCAATAGCGCATTTGACACCGTTAAAGTGCAACCTTTAATATTCAATTAAGCTGTAAAAATTAGCACTTGGCAATAATCGACGCGTTTCTACCCGCTCGAACAACACCATGGCCATCAATTATAGTCATCCGCATAAATCACACTCTCTCTCCTGTCTGCACTCTTCATTCATTCACACTGACTGTAGGTACTACGGGGGCAATCTGGGATTATGTACGGCCCGAGTGCGCCTTCAAGCAATCAGCCGGCGACACAATTTTCCAAGCTGACGACCGACCTCCCAACGAGGACCTCATCGCATCCGTCTCGAAAAGCCACGCAAAAGAACAACGCAAGATTGACAGACAGCAAACGGCAGCATGGGAAAAAAATGCACAACCTCTCTCTCTCTCTCTCTGTCCCACATCTCGCTCAAGAGCTTGACTATATATGTTTCTGTTGCGAGATTTAATATTTTGATAAACAACTCACTTACATTTGCCGGTACTTGTGCTGCATCTTTAATTTCCTTTCACAAGTTGTGTTTTTCCCTTTTGCTTTTTTGTTCACTTCAAAGCCACTCGAACAGCAGAACAATCGATTCGATTTAAATCTTCTTCTCACTCTGAACGATTCCGGTCGGCCACTAAAACTTTATTGCATCGCGTGAAATTTGTTAAACACAATATTAGCATAACAATGCTCCGAAAAAAAGCCTATTACGCTTTTTCACTCGCACCAGGCCTCTAGAAATGGTTCCATTCTTTGACACCTCTTCTGCCCACGCAGCATTTATTCTTTCCTGCATGACATGTTTCGAGTTTTCCACCTCTCTTCTCTGTCGACACACATTCACGCTCTGATGCTTCGGTCCGGTAGTAAAATTCAATTTCCGACTAAGCGATTAGCTTTTTTTTATGTGCTCCGTGGTCACTCACTTTGCATACATCCGCCAGCCGAGATTCACATCCGATCTGGGCAAACATTCAACGAAAACAACTGGCCCATTCACATTATTCACTTAGCGCGAATCTCATTTTCACCGTTCTATCTTCACTGTTTGTTATTCACTGTGATTGCATAAAAGCCAATTCTTTTTGCCACCTTCTCCTGTCGTCGCACTAAAAATACTCGCGCTAACAAGTCCGGCACGGAAACCGAACACGTTCACGTTTCACATTCCACGTGCATGTTTACCAGAATCACAATCAACAAATCACTTCTTCTTCTTCTTATTTTTCTTCTTCTTCCCCCTGCACGGGTCACTTTATCACGTTTCACGTCGTTTCGAGTATTTTGCTTCTTGATTTCAGTGAAAATCTCAATTTCTTCCCTCAAGTTCTTCAACCGGTCGATACGGACAAAATCAACCCCTTCTAGCATGGGCACGTCCTGCGAAAATTTTCGCACAAGCTCATCGGTATCGATTTCCACTCGGCAAAATTTACGTATTCGTCGTCAACACAAATCGTCCGCGTGCGATTTTTCACGCAACCCAGGAACATCCAACGATCAACAGTCGCTCCCCTTGGCCAGTGAACGCGCGCGATTTGCCCGATGGCAGCCACACTACTGAAGAGCTAAGTGGCTCCGAATGGGGTTCGATGCTGCACTCTCGAGAAATCCTCCCGACACGACTCCTGCCGGCTCTGGTGGTGGTGGGTGAGCGAGCATAAGCGACGTGTGACCGACGGGACCGGGGTTCGGAATGACGTGCAACATGCTGCCGATGGATGTAGCGTTGCAACACTATGTCGAGTAGCATAAAGTTGCTCAATTCTCCTAGCGGTGGTGGTTGAGAATGCTCTCGCTCTCAGCGAACGAGTCCTTATTGCTTGCTCGCGTGCGTTCGTTGTCGGGTGACGGCCATGTGGTGGAACGTATTCCGGTGGGTATGCTGTGACTATGCTTGTAGAAGTAAAGGCATCATTCGGCGATGGCATATTTATGCTGTACAGCATTTTTGTTTTGCTCCTTCCACCGCCTCGTTTGCTCTGGGAGGGTTTGCTGCCTAGCCGTATGGCGGATGCCTCCGCATGTCTATAAAAAGCTAGGAAAAAGGGTGGTATGCAGTGAATATAAACTTTTTGTCTGGAGACATGTAATGTGTATTTTGATTAATTAGTTTGAGGAAATGCACTCAAGGCAAGTTTTCAACACGCTGATGATACACAATTTACGTATCACCAAATTCAGCAGGCCGAGATCAGCACGGTAAACTTTTAAATAAAATATTCTTTTACATTCTGTGAAAGGTCATCGGATTTTATTAATTAAATGTTACTGCCAATTCAGAGAAAAATTAACATTTGGTGTCAGATTGCATTCATCCATTGCTGCACTTAATTTGTTCATAGGTAAACATGATCGTGGGATTAGGAAATTAATTTTAAGCTATACACCGTCGTGTTTGAGAAAACTTTTCTGATTCTGTTCTCCATCCTTGCCGTTTAGGCAGAGACATAACAAGGGTTGGCAGCGCCCCTGGTAAACCATGAAAATTACGCTTCTCTTGAAAATATGTTTTTTGTCGCTTAGGTATTTACATTGTTAGTATTTCACATAATTCATTTGAAATATTTGATATAGGATAGAGTGTAGTGGTAAGCGTTCAATCCCAGTCGGCGCCGCTGGGATACTCTGAATAGACCTGTGCGCCGCCACGCCACGCCGCCGCCGCCGACGATTTTCATACGCCGCCGCCGCCGCTGCAAATTGTACCGGCGCGCCGCCACAGTAAATATGTCCACGCCGCCGAATAAATTTATGTCACGCCGATGATAAATCCGCAACACCTCTTCGGTAAAATGCATCTTGAATGCGTTGCAATTAGAACGTGTGTGCACGCTCGTTCATGGCTACTCAAAATTTAGTGAAAACTCACTCAATTTCATTACAACCGGATCTACTCTAAATTTAGTAACATAGCCAGAACTAAATTTTGAGTAAAATGGCGAGGTACTTGTTGATGAGTTATTTCTACTCATTTCCATAGCATCCAAAATATAGGCAAATGAGTCAAAAATACACAAATGGGCAAATATTTCGTGTCTTTTCGTTTTTTTTTTCATTAGGATCAATAAACCAAAAACTGAAAAACAGTTAAATCAAGCATCAAATAAAACAAAATGCAAACCAATTACCATTTAAATTGCGGTACGTTTCTGCATCCACGGCGGCTGCAATTTGCATCATTTTCGAATGAATTCTTTCGAAATTTTCAAATTTTCTTCTACGACGGAAAGGAAAACTTCGTATTTTTACATTCTCACAATCAGGGCTGAAAAATTTCATTACAGTTAAAAAGCTACTTTTAGAAATTATGAAACTATGGGATATTGAAATAATAATTTTTATATGTAAGATACAAGAAGAGGAGCTTGTGTAGGACACATAAAACCTGTCAATGTCAATTCCAGAGTGTCGCAATTAGCTATTAGTTATAACGAAGGGTATTCACTCATTGAAATATCTCATTACAGCTAAAATAGCTAATTGTGACCCTGTGAATGCAAAATTGACAAGATTTATGTGTCCTATACAAATTTTACCTCCTCTTCTTGCATCTTACATAAAAAAATATTATTATTATTATATCGCATAGTTTCATAATTTTGAAGAGTGGCGTTAAAGCTGTAATGAGATTTTTCAAGCCTGCTTACAATTCCAGTTTGTTTCTTTTTGAGTCAACAAATGTGCTGAAATCTCAAAATTGAGATTGGCTTTTATTTATTTATTGTTGAGTCCAGGCTTGTAATTGCTCATTGCAGCTAAAATGCTATTTTTCGTAATTATGAAACTATGAGATACTATAATGATAACTTTAATTTGTAAGAAGCAAGCAGAGGTGGAAAAGTTTGTGTATGACATATAAACTTTGTCAATTTTGCTATAAGAAGGTCATAACTAGCGATTTTATGATCGCTGATTGCTTGCTCATCGCGTTGCTCATCGTTACAGCTAATCGCTAGTTGTGACCTTCTGATAGCAAAACTGACAAATTTTATATGTCATACACAAACTTTTCCACCTCTTCTTGCTTCTTACAAATTAAAATTATCATTATAGTATCTCATAGTTTCAAAATTACGAAAAATAGCATTTTAGCTGTAATGAGCAATTACAAGCCTGGTTGAGTCAATATTCAGAAATCCCAACTACTCATGCTTTGACGTTTCGAAAGAAGTTATGAAAATGAAAATGTCTGACTCATGTTTGAGTAACCTCAAACAAGCCTGTATGAGGCAACTATTTAGCGTCATTTATAGCGAATTCGTTTATTATCAGTGCGAAACCGAACTTTTTGGCAGTGCGAACCTCAACCGGAGCTGGGTTTTAAAAACAAACGAGCAAACTGACGTTTGTCAGAAAACAAGCAGACCCAATTTTGACACCCGATCCAGATTAGAACTGAATAATAAACGAATTCGCTATTAGTTTTTTGACGTTCGTTCGCACTTGCTCTATCTAGCACACAGGGATGAATCACTATTTGTCCTCCTGCTCGTACTTGTTCGAGATTGCGTTTTGATGCGCTGATCAAACGTCAAAAATCTCAGTTCACTGGTTTCGTCTCGATGAGCAAGAACGGCCAGATCTACAGGTGAGGCAGAAGGAAACTTGCCGACTCTTTCTTTCTCTCGATCCGACGAGAACACCGGATGAATGAAACAGTCGACTTACGTTTCCTTCTGCCTCACCTATAGATCCTGCGCATCGGTCTCGTTTTTACGCATTTGATTTTGTTTCCATTCACGACGACTTCAGTGATGTCGAATTTGAATTTAAATAAAATTCCCTTGAATTTTCTGTCGATTGATACTTCGAGAAAGAGTGACGTGAAGAGAAAGTGATCTGCTTGCTATGCATGTCAGAGACTAAGAAGATGCCGGGTGATACCGAGGTCCGGAATTGTAAGTCGAAATGGATAAAATAAACAGACACATCTTAACCGATATCGAAGAATCTGGAGATTAACTTGATATGGATGAGCAGAACTCGTTATCTTGTATGGAGGAGGAGCTAAATGCTCAACTTCCGAGTTTGTGTGAAACGAATGTCAATGTTCCGTCAAGGACCTAAATAAGCCCCAACACTTAAAACAATCAGCGTAACACGTTAGCATTACTTACATAAGATGATGAAAAGTCTTGAACTAAATAAAGCTGGCGTGAATGCTTTATTGAACCGTCTCACGATCTCATATTCACAGCACATGAGTGGGCGCTAGTTAAATACTTCCGAAACTTTCTTGAGCCGTTTGAGGTGAGTTTTTTTTTAAGTCGTGGTTCTGAAACTATAATTGTAAACTATTGTTGCTATATCTCTAGCAACTAAGCCTACTAATAAGTTCCATCTGACCGATTGGTGACCATATAGGGTTTGAAAATTAATATCCAACCAGTGCACACTAGGGACAAAATCGAAACAATGTGTTAAAATTCAATAACTTCGGTGCTCGCTGGAACAAGAGACTAAAAAATAGTCATTCTTATAGAAAAAAGTCTCAGAAATCGATTGGAGTGGGTTTCATCTTGGGCACGATAGGGTAAGTTGGGGTTTTTCATAGTTTTGCCCTAAAATCTCCTATTTTGCATGATTTGAATGCTGTATCTCAAGATACCGATGATATAGACGGATGATTTCTTCGGCAAAGTTGATCAAAAGGTCAAGGACTGTTGGATGATAGACAGAAAAATTCGGAATTCTTCCGCTAGGCGGCGCTAGTGAGCATTCAAAGTGTATATGTTTGTGCTGCTGTATCTCAAGATCCTGACTATTTAGACGGATGATTTCTTGGGCAAAGTTGATCAAGAGGTCAAGGACTGTTGGATGATGGACAGAACAACTCGGAATTCCTCCGCTAGGTGGCGCTAATGAGCATTCGAAGTGAATATGTATCTCAAGATCCTGACTATTTAGACGGATGATTTCTTCGGCAAAGTTGATCAGGAGGTCAAGGAATGTTCGATGATAGACAGAACAATCCATAATTCCTCCACTAGGTGGCACTAGTGAGCATTGAAAGTGAATATATTTGTGCTGCTGTATCTCAAGACTCTGACTATTTAGACGGATGATTTCTTCGGCAAAGTTGATCAGGAGGTCAAGGACTGTTGGATGATGGACAGAACAATTCAGAATTCTTCCGCTAGGCGACACTAGTGAGCATTCAAAGTGAATATGTTTGCGCTGCTGTATCTTAAGATCCTGACTATTTAGACGGATGATTTCTTCGGCAAAGTTGATCAGGAGGTCAAGGACTGTTGGATGATGGACAGAACAATTCAGAATTCTTCCGCTAGGCGACACTAGTGAGCATTCAAAGTGAATATGTTTGCGCTGCTGTATCTTAAGATCCTGACTATTTAGACGGATGATTTCTTCGGCAAAGTTGATCAGGAGGTCCATGACTATTGGATGATGGACAGAACAATTCTGAATTCCCCCGCTAGGTGACGCTAGTAAGCATTTGAAGTTAATGTGTTTGTACTGCTGTTTCTCAAGATCCTGACTTTTTAGACGGATGATTTCTACGGCAAAGTTGATAAGGAGGTCAAGGAACAATCCGG